AAATGGCGGAATAAATGACATTCATGCTAAATCCAATATGGCGGCACTTTAACAGTATCTATGGATTTTTTACCAAGCTACTTGCTAATTTAAGAGACAAAATAAATTTTCTTGCCACTTCTACAATCAGTTGACAAAACCAAAATAAATGACATAAATTTGGGACCACTTTTGTTTTTACTTAAAATGTCAAAATGTATTTAAAATGTTCTCACAATTATCAGTACGAAACGGAGCTTTCTGAACGCTAACAATAAAGAGGGTCTTATTTACGAAGGAAAAATGCTCAACAGTACGTTTCTTTTGTATTGTTTTTTCTAACGATAACAAGAACGATAATGGAAATTAGCATAGTAAAAACTAAGTAACAAAAGTAACTAAACTCTGGGCGCTGAAGAAAGACATTAAACGTAAACAGTGATCAGCACGTGAATCCCTCGAAAGCATCCACGGATATACTCCAGTCACTTTAGGTCTAAACATCCTCGGCAGTGTATTTCTAGTGAATCCACAGACCCTTTTTCGTGTCATCTTGAGACTAGAAAAAGGATGACTGTTAAAATAAGTTACCTTGATCTTTCATGAGCTCCCAGTACAAAACATCATCGATATATTTTTGATGTAGGAACAACAAATTGGTTTAGAAAACATCCACTTTGAACCTAAATTGACTGGAGTAACATCGATCTACAGACAAATTCAAGGTCACTAGCAGTCGTCGGCGCTCTACGAATCTGCACAGGTTTGGACTTGTAAACGTGATTGTAGATGACACGACAGGCATCTAACAGTTAATTCACGCACAGGATTGCATTGCATACGCATTACGCATTCAGTAGCGTATACTCGTTTTTCGCGAGTGGAACGTTTTGTTTATATATTGCCTAAGATACGATGTCTGACACAGATACAGCCTTCGAAGTGGTTGACATCAGCGCAACCCCACCCAAAAAAAGGGCTAAGAAGCTACATTTAAGTGCAAATGAAAAACAAATAATATTAAATGTATACAAAAACCAAATTCAAGAAAAACCCGATTTGGTCGTGGACGAAGTTATATGTAAGGTAGCACATATTTCTGGAGTATGTCGGTCCAGTGTTTATAGGATCATTAAGGAATATAGGAGCACTCACTCACTTTCTGAGCCAAAACCGTATCCTGCAAGAAAAAGGATAACGGACGGAGTAGATGACTTTGACAGAACTGCCATCAGGAGGAAAGTGCATAATTTTTTCTTCCGAAATGAGATACCTACAGTAGATAAGATATTAAGATTAGTTAATGCTGATGAGGGTCTTCCATCATTTAAAAGAACCACATTCCGAAAACTTTTGAAGGAACTTAATTTTCGATTCTTGAAATGGGGAAGAAACAGTATGTTAATAGAGAAAGAAGAAATTGTTGTGTGGAGAAGGGAATACCTTAGGAAGATTCGGAAGTTTCGCGATGAAAAAAGAAAAATTTACTATTTGGACGAAACGTGGGTGAATGCTGGACATACTCAAGCGAAAGTTTGGGTCGACAAATCAGTAACATCATCAAGGCAGGCTTTTCTAGACGGTCTTTCGGCTGGATTGAAAAATCCTGCAGGTAAGCTCCTTCATCTATCCGGCAATTTAATTTTGATAAATTCGGGCAAATAATATGCTGTGATAGCAGATAATGTGTGATATTCTCCAAAAATGGTGCATTCGCAGTGTAGTCATTAGGAAAAAAACTTCGACCCTCTTTTAAGCGTTATTTTGAAATTTATTATCATTTTTGGGTGCAGTCAATTTGCTTTGAATGGGTTTTGAGAAGTTGCAAACTTCAATTTTCTACGTTTTTCAGTTTTTGATCAGCATTCCGTGACTCTTAAATTCAGCTAAATGAACTCAATTGCCTCATTCCTTCAAATTTAATCAATCCATAGTGTAAGGAATAATTTATTTCCAGGAAAAGGCAAACGGCTGATCATTTGTCACGTAGGTAGTGAAGACGGCTTTGTTCCCGAAGCACTGTGGGCCTTTGAATCAAAAAAGACAGGGGACTATCATGAGGAGATGGACGGCAATTCCTTTGAAAATTGGTTCTCCAAAATGTTACTAAAGCTGGAGAATAACGCTGTTATTGTACTGGATAATGCCCCGTACCATTCTAGAAAAATAGAAAAAATTCCCACAATGGCAACTAAAAAAGCAAACATACAACAATGGCTGGCCTCAAAACAGATCGATTTTGATGAAACAATGGTCAAGGGTGAATTGATAAGTATAGTCAATAGACATAAATACAAATACGATTTTAAAATGATCGACGAAATGGCCAAAAAACAAAATAAAACTGTCTTGAGACTGCCACCCTACCATTGTGAGCTGAACCCTATTGAGCTGATTTGGGCCAACATAAAGCAATACGTGGCGTCGAATAATAATACTTATAAATTTTCTGATGTTAAAAATCTCTTTCACATCGCAGTCAATAGAGTTACGGCAGAGGAATGGAAAAACTGTATCCGCCACGTTCGGGAGAAGGTTGAGGTCAAAATGTGGGATTTGGACAATGTCGTCGATACCCAAATTGAACCTCTAATAATTCATTTAAACGATTCAGAAGATTCAAGTTCCTCTTCTGAATGAGTGCGCGCAGCTTACTTACTAATAACTAAAAAGTGTAGTTAACTCATTTGTGAATCTCTAACTGAAATTTACTGTAAAAGATAATAATTATCTTGTATGAAATTTTTGATGACTACCCATAATATCTTGATGCGGTCCTGTAATGTCTCCTGCGCCTAAACACTCACTTCCGAGCAATATGCGTGTATTTGTTTGGGTTTAGTTTCTTTCTTCAGCGCCTAGAGTATAAATAACAAATAACTAAGCAGATAAATTACTAACTAAAAATTAGGAAAAATCATTCAGTTAAGTGTTCTATGCGTTGGCGCCGAGTTTTTGACGCAACCTGACTCCCTTAATGTTTTCTATAAACAATTTTCTTAAATCTTTTTGAGATACGTATTCAATGGCTGTTGTAATTCTATTTTCCAGTACTTCTAGAGACGATCGAGGAGTGGCATAAACTTTTTTTTTAATAATCCCAAATTGAAAGGTCCAGAGGGGTTAAATCTGGTGATCTTGCAGGCCAACAGATTGGTCCGTTGGTTCCTATCAAATTTCCACCGAATCGCTCATTGAAGTAACTAGTTATAACCACAGAGGTGTGGGCAGGGGTGCCAACCTGAAGCTAATAAAAAATGTTCGTTGTCCTACAGTACATATAACCATTTAACGGTTGATAGAAAAATATAGGACCAACGATATTAAGCCCTGTTACGCCTAACCAAACATTCACTCCAAAACGTTCCTGGAAGGCACCAGCTTGTGGTTCTCCTTAGCCCAATATCGAGTGTTTTGATGAAACATCCCTAGATTAGTAAACCTGGATTCATCCGAGAAAATAGCATGGTGAGGAAAGACAGCATTTATGTTCAGATTATTCAAAAACCAGTTGCAATAATTAAGCCGTCTTGGGAAATCATTTTCAAACAGATGGTGATGAATTTGGTATTTAAAAGATCTAAAGCCATGTTTCTCTAAAATTTTTCTTGCACTTTCGTGGGAAATTCGGCACCGCTCACCTATTTCGCGACTAGAAGCAGTAATATCATATTCTACGTACGCTAGAACGTTTATTTCGACTTCTTCACTTACTAGAAAACCATTACAATTAACAGGATGGTTATGTTATGTTCATTTTTCAAATGTTCTACGAGCCAAGGATAATAGGCGTGTGATGGCGCTTGACGATCTGGAAACCGTTCCTCATATAATTTTGCGGCGCGCCTCGAATTTGTTTGGCATTCACCATAAATAAGGAGCGTGTCGATTTGACGATCTCTTAAATAATTCATTATTTTGAAACATAAAAAAATCAGAAAAAATGTCTTGTATCGTTGTTAGGTCGGACACTTTTCAGACCACTTTGGTAGAAATGTTTTCACTACTAACACTATATCACAACATTCAAATTTACAGATTCAAACCAATGTTCGTTTCATACTCATTTTACAAATATCTTGAACCATTTGGTAGCCTGGTGTCAAACTGCAAACTCAAATACAGTACGGTATTTTACACGAGTATCCATCACAGAAGAATAACAGCTGATTATCCCTTGATATTTTAGAACACCCTATATAGACAAGTGACACATACTTGGTTCTGAGGGATCCGTCAACGCCTTCTATTTAGAAATCTTCTTTGCATATGAAAAAACTCTACAAGCAAACTGGCTGTTAATGCTGACTACATTTCAAGTTGGGTAGGAATAAATCAAGATGAACACTTTTGGCTGTGTTAATCGTCTCTACTTTTTAGAACTTGAAAACGCAATAAAACAGCTATACAATTAAATCAGAATGTGTGGCAGTATATACCCGAACTCAGGAGATCCTAACAAATTAGTAATTTATATATAATAACTTTCTAATAAACATTATTATATCTGTACTTCGTACATTGTATTGACACATTTCCCGGTCAATAATATCAAGATATCTACCTAAACATCAAGGACGACGTCGACGTGCTGAGTATCCATAGGATCTTGAAGATCCTCATATAAATTGGAAACCTGCGTCATTACTTTAGGAATGTTCCAATTTCCCTTTCTCAAATGCGGTTTGTTTATAAAGTAGGTTAAACTAGTGACCAAGCAACACCTGACTTGGATATTGACACATGGTCTTAGAACTACATCATTTATTTTAACGTAGGAGGGGCTTGTGGGAGGGGAAGGTGTCAGGGTCGTACTTATTCATTTATTGCTTTTCCGAAATGCAATATCTCGGTTATGTTAAAGCTTTGGTATGTATGATACTAAACAACAATCGTATTATTGCCTGACCTATACGTTATGTAACGGAAAGTCTCGACTTGAACCCTTTATCTTTTAAGACAATTGAGGCAGTCACTTAATGTTCACAGTCTGAAAAGCTTGTTGAATGGTTGTACGACAGCAGATGGTACGAGCACGTGGGTAGCACCGCACCATACGGTAAAGCAATGGTGTTACTTCAAGGAAAAAGTCAAATGAGTGTCATGCTCACAGCTGGTGGCTTTCTCAACATGGACCTGCAAACAGGACTAGCGGTAAGTGGAATCTTGATTATGTTTACACATTGTCAGATATCACATTCTGCTTCTTCTAAAGCTTCTTTACTCGCGAATGTTGTTTTAATTTAGGAGATGTTATGAAATGACAGGGGGCTAGGATAGGCGGATGGTGCGTAATACATCAATCCAAAGCCTGCTTGGTATAGTGCAATTCTCGCGCTGCCAAAGACTGAATGAAATGTTCAACAGTTGGAGATAAGTTTTGTAATCACAAAAAGACTCGAAAACGAAATTGTATGTTTTTTTGGATGTTATATGACACATGCATCACGAAAAACCATGTCACTCATTTTAGTTAGTCTGTCTGCCAGTCTGTCCACCTGTCGGTTTGTCCGCTAATTCTTGATACCTCTTGAAGGAAGATATCAAGCTGTATAATTCCTTTAATTGTCGTTTTGCTTGTAAATCAGTGCTCACAGTGAACAGTATGTTTTCCAAAATGAAGGATAAGGTTCAGTTACTTGATTCAACCAACACTATCTATCGCATTAGTTGCGACAACTGTAATTTGGTTTATATAGGCCAAACATCGAGATCATTGAAAGGCACGATAACTTCACACAAAAGTGACGCCAGATTGCATCCAGAGAGATGTGTTTTGGCATCACATATTAACACCACAGGTCACTCTATGAACTATGGCAGTATTGAGGTTCTTGACAAATAAAAAACACTAAAAATGTCTATTTTTTGAAAGGTCCCACATTTTCATGACGGATCATTGCATGAATAAAAAGGCTGTTGAATTGCGAAAGGTTAGAATGGCTAGATATCCCAGCTGATCTAACGTCGTCCCAAATACATTTCCAATTGCTTATCCTGTTAATTGAAACATCTCACTCACAATGTTTAATATAAATTCACACAACCCATCTTTTCAAGTGTGTATCACTATCTTACATTCGTACACTCATATGAACCGTACCTTTTTCCAGAACAAATTTATTTCAGCATTTTGGTAATTAGAATGAGGTTTTACTTCATACCCAAATTTGACAATGAGGCTTACAGTTCCACAGTCCGTCGCATCAATCACATGTCATCTGTCGACGCATTATCTTTCCGTTCCGTCAACCTTCTGCACGTGAAGCGGATGTAGGAGGTTAGAAGCTGAAGTTGTTTGACAATTTAAGTCGTTCCGGTGTGTTTTCAGATCCTGATGAAGGCTCCATAGAGAATTGCTGAAAGCTTGATACGATTGTCAAAAGAGTTAATTAAAGCCTAAAAAAGTTAGCCAATTTACCAATTAACAATTAATTGTAATTTCCTTGCCCAACTGGACGTTGGCAATGGCGATGACTACTGCTATATATATATAGGGTGGCCCATTCATGTGTGGACGGAATATTACTCATAAACAAATACATTTTGGGAAAATCTATAGGACGATATACATGACATTTGAGTGCACATTTCTAAAATATTGGTCATTATACAGGAATTTCGACTTACATATCAAGGTTGTGATTTTTCAAATAGAATACCTCAAATTTTATTGCATATTTGGATAAACCAATTCAGAAGAAGAAAACTGATATAACATACTATGGGGTTTTGGTAATTAGCTATTGAGATATAAGGTGTTTTATCTAGAAAAACCCCTCACTTCGGTAACCCCGCAATCCGCCATTTTGAGATTTGGACTACTGAACTTTGGATCAAAAAAACTTACACACCTCAGCTTTTATCTTATTTGCTACTTTTTCGAATTTTAATGTTTGCTCATACAGGGTGGTCAGTCGCGCAAATTGTAGTTTTTCTTCAAATGCGTCACCCTGTATATTTGTGCAAGTTGGGATTCAATTTTGTATAAGTTTTTTTTGATACTAGACATATAAGGCTTTTTACGGCTGTTTTTTCGGTTATTAGCACGTCCTTTAAGGAATTCCCTAAAACATCGCATCATCCTTGGAAACAAATAAATTGCAGTTACAAACTGTCAAAATTAGCTTTGCAATATAATAAAAACGTGTTTGAAAATGAATTTTTCTAAAGAAGAAATGGTGAATATGGTGTTCGTTTTGGGCGAAGCCCAAAGAAATAGTTTCCTAGCATCTCGCATTTATAAGCAACGGTACCCTAATATGCGACATCCAAGGTCGGAAACATTTTCAACACTGCGAGAATGTTTTGAATCAAGTGGAGCAGTGGAATATAGTAAAAAATGTATAAATAATCCAAGTGTCACCAATGAGGCGAATCAGTTTGAAGTTCTATTAAAGTTGCAGGAAAATCTCCAATCAAGTGCACGGCAAATTGGAGCAGAAACTGATATATGCAGAACTTCTGTGACGGTCATTTATCCAAAGACTACGGCTGTGTATTCAACATGGTGCAGATATTTTCGCGCAGGTTTTGTAGATTAGGTTTTAATTAGTGATAGTAGTTTGTTTATGTTGATGTTATAGTTGTTTTTCTCTATTACGCTTGACGCTGATTCATACTGTTTTGATAGTTATTAGTTTTTACGTCAAATCTGTACTTTTAGTGGCAATATGAAACTAGCTCACTGTTTGTCTTTTGTTTCCATGGATGCTGTGATTTTTTCTTTAATTTCGGTGTGTTAAAAGCTTAATAACTCAAAATCTAGTGATTTTATCTGAATCAAACCTAATACCAAAAAAAAAGCTTATAAAATATTGAATCCAAACTTGCGCAAATATACAGGGTGATGCATTTGAAATTTTCGAGTGAAAGTACAATTTGCGTTTTTGACCACACTGTATGAGCAAAAATGAAAATTCGAAAAAGTAACAAGTAAGATAAAAGCTGAGGTGTGTAAGTTTTTTTTGATACAAAATTCGGCACTCCAAATTTCAATGTGGCGGATTGAGGGGTTGCCGAATTGGACGGTCTTTCCGAACAAAACACCTTACATCTCAGTACCTAGCCAATTACCAAAACCCCATAGTATGTGATGACAATCTTGTTCTTTTGAATTGGTATATTCAAATATGCAAGAAAATTTGAGGCATTCCATTTAAGAAATCACAACTTTGATATATATTTCAAAGCTGGGATACCCTGTATAATTGCCAATATTTTATAAATATGCTCTCACTTGTCGTGTATAACACGCCATTACTAGATTTTCTCAAAATGTATTTGTTTATGAGTAATACTCCGTCCACGCATGGATGGGCCACCTTGTATATACAAACGGGCTATCTTCGAATTCGGCCATAGAAATAAATTCACACGAAACAATACAATTAGCATCTGTTACTAAGAACTGACTATGATTGATCTGCTTCTGCACATAACCCTACCTTCTTTGTAAAACCTCTATGGTATACATGCACCTAGATTTACAATTACTTATCCACCGACTGTAGGAGAACTACATGAACCTTCTCAAAGTCCATCTGAAGAGATATCTTGTTGACAGGTGCCCTTATACTCTAGCCGAATATTTTTTCATCCAAAGCTTGTATACCAATTTTTATTGTGATTTTTTTTATCTCCGGTGCAATACTTCCAAACGGATAAGGACTTGGATGCAGATTTTTTAATCGAAAGGCGTTTAATGCCAGTGTTACTTGAGTTATCTAGTAGCATGGAATGAGTGATGAATAATGTATTGTATGAATTTGTTCCTCACAGTGATATTTTTCTAAATTTGCAGTAAAATGCTATATGTGTTGTGTCTTCAGCCTTATACCATCCATATAGCGTAAAGTCAATTTTTGGAGCTTTTGTTTTGCTGCTTCGTTATGACCTCTCGTATTTCGATTTTGCGCAGCAAAATTTCAAACGCTAGGTACGGAAAATAGGAAGAGCTTATTTAGTGAAGATGGGTAAGCTTGATTAAAATAATTTCAATTCATGAAAACAGATCGGTCAAAATATAATATTGAGCTCTAGATTACAGATACAATTAAATGCAAGCAATAGGCAGTATTTTTAAATAATTGAGTTGTCACAACCAAAAACAATAAACAACCTGTCATGATTGTCATTAGTCACAAGTCAACAAAACCAGATGTTTTTCCAACCATCTTCATTTGCTGAACCTGTCAAAAATAACGATTCGTTACTCTTGTTTCTTTCTAAGCACCCTACATTGTGATTGAGCTGGTCCTGCACCATCTCTTGACAAAGAGCAATGTAAGCGCTTGGAATAACACGAATGTTTGATGTACCGTGGCTCGATCAGTACGGTGTAAACGTGACCTTTAGTTTCTTTTCTCGTCTAACATCAGCACGAAGCTCAACTCCGTTGGCTTTCAATATCGCCTCGACTATAAAGTTATTCGCAATAGATTAATCTCTGGATTAATATAGTTTGGTAGTTTAATCACGTTGTAAGTGTTGAAGTTACCCAATATCTTGTTTTTGCCTTCTAAATCGATTTATTATAAGTTACGTACAGCTTCGCGAGTAAATAAAGTCGCATTTGGAGAACGGAAGGCTAGAATAGAGGAAAGCAATTATACTCTTGTTTTATGATTCATTACTGCATTGACTATAACAAAGAAGCTCAATATATCATAAATCATAACTCAGTCTCCGGCAGAATTTTAGTTTGAAAGCGCAATGCTAAGTATTAAATGGACATTTAATGGAAAAAAGGGTCATTAAAAACGTCTTGATATGCACGTATACAATGTAAACAATGTAGACATTGCATACAATGACATCGTCGCTTAAGTTCTAATAAAAAAGCTGAATTTTTGGGAAAGCAACAAGAATGGTAAGCCTCTGGACTTCCTATCCTATGCCAAACATGTCTCTCATAATTCTCCATGTTTGTCTGGCCTTCAGATAAAACATTGCTGGAAAATGTTTACTAAAAACGTTTCGGTCACTACGGTACCTTTTTTATACACTGTATAAATCGTATACATTGAATACCTTGTGTACATTGTATGCATTATGTACCTCGTATACATTGTATACATTTCATACACTGTATACATTGCATACATTGTATACATTGTGTACAAGATGTTGAAGTAATAATTTCACAGAAGTGACGTCTGCTCTGGATTCGACTCTATTTTTTTCATGTATACTTGAACATTAATCGGAGGCCGATGACCAAATTTTAGAGAAGACGATGACATGAAATGAAGAGACAAAACGACATATTAAAATATTAAATATGTTGTCTTTTAGAGGAGAAGAAGTAGCCGTGTTAATGTGCCTTTTGTGCTCGGAATGGCGAAACTTTCTAAGTGCCATTTTACTAGTAACCTAAATGCACAACTTTGCCTTTATTCAACCGATTTTGTTTCTCTTACCGTTTCCCTGGTCCCAATGGTGAGAGTTTAAGTTGAATTACACGGTATATTCGCAGTAAGCTTATAGATCGCTGCTCTATTATATTGTACACATCTTATGTGTTTCAAACAACGTGATAGAATAATTTATTTTTTGTTTCAGACTTTGAAGACGATGGTTTCCTACAGCATGTTTTTGAAAACTATGGCGGGGCTTGAAGATGACATGAAATAATAGATTTAATTATTGATTATTACCTTATATTATGTTTACCTTTTCTAGTCGAAAAGCATGTGTAGATAAAAACAAGTATATTTTTAAATATAATAGTATTCGTTGTAAGCTTGAAGATCTCTTAATTTTTTTCAAAATTCAAATTTTTATCTCCCGTAGCTACAAACTAACAAAACTTAGACAGGGGCAACTTACGGCGCCGATTTCGAATATGGAGCAATTACATGCATTACGGACTGACAATTACAGGACATTTTTCACAATTTTCTGTCATACCGGTTAAAAATGGCAAAAGATATAGCAATAACTTTATCTGCAATGAATTTAGTGCGGAGATTTGTGAGAGTAGAAGTCACGGACTGATAAAAATGGAAACTCGTGAATTTGACTGATCACATAGTTCTCCGAACAGAAGAGAAAACTGATGTTATGTGATATCTTGTCTACATGAGGGTTCATCCTTCAAAATGATTCAAACAGAAAATTATTATATTCGATTGAAACCCAGTTATTGAAGTATCACTAGTTAAATTGGATTTTTTGTCACGGACCGACTTCTGTGGCGGACGGTCTTTTTCGTGACGCAAAAACTGGCACATGTGACACAATTCAAAGACCATAGAAGCACAAAACGGGCACAGATATTATGAATATTTTGTAACTGGTAGGGAGGCGCTACATAAAACCAAACGAAATGTGAAATGTTTCTGGAAGAATCTCAAAATATTGCTGGTAAAGTAACGTTCTGCACAGATATTAGCCACGTTTGTTGCACAAATCATAGCTTATTAATCTTATACTCTAGAGCTGAAATATGTATTAAATTGGAAATACTTTTTTTATGTAACAAACAGACAGTACAATGCCGAGGTGGTATAGTTGATGCGCCTATTTTGCTGCTTTCTGGGCATATACCATATCCTGACGAGTGTGCGGTGTATTTGTGTAATTGGAATAACTAAACAGCCTGGACCAAGTTTAATACACATATATCTTAAGAGCGATAGTCGGTGCCATTTGCAGAAGGATGTATTAGGCATCCAATAGCTGTATCACTGTAGTGTTTCTAAAAGTTTCTTCTAAGCTGTAAGCCATGGTTCAAGTATAACTTGTTTGACTTTAACTGTATCTCATCGCAGTTATCAACGTTTTCTTAGTATGTATGCGGCGGCAGCTTCCAAAAAGTTCGCTCTAGACTTGAACATGTCTGACCGAATATTTTCCTGTTTAAAGATACCGGCCGGGTCATTGCGTAAAAACCTATATTATGTCAAAAAAAGACACAATGTCAACTTGCTGGCTAGATAGTTCCTAGTGTTCATTCCGCTATGCGCTGTGTGGGCGTCAGCAATAGCGTCATCTATGGAGGAATGACTCAATGACCATGCGGTATACTTTGCTGGTTGCAGAATGCCGAGGCAGTTTGTAGAGTATATCTCTGAGAAGATGTGACAGAGAATTGGTTGAGAAGCAAGAAAGCATCTGGATGACGAGCATGTTATGGACTTCGTGTGTAATTTTTTCCCACTCCATCTTCGTTTCCTCAGGTTACACCCGTATGCGGATGTGTGGGCATGTGGATCTACCTTTGTAGTTTCATATGTGCATTCATTTCGGGCCTGACGAAGCCAACTGGCAGAAATACGTATCCCTCGGGTTACCTATCCTATTTTTTACTCGAATCCACTTTCATTATTTTTGCGGATTTTGCCCATTATTTTACTACATTTTGTTATATACCTTTCTCCGCAAGATCATTTTCTCTTTGTAGATCCTTTGGACTTGAAGTAACACAGCAAGTGACTATAACCGGCCGCGTGATTGTGGTTAGATGTCTCCTTGGAAATTCGAGGTCTTCTAGCGATTTTATACTACAATGTGTAGGTTGGCTCTTGTTGTGGACTTCGTGTGTCGTTTTTTCCCTCTGCATCTTCCTTTCCTCAGGTTACACCCGTATCCGGATGTGTGGGCATGTGTATCTACTTTTGTAGCTTCATATGTGCATTCATTTCGGGCCTGATGAAGCCACCCAGCAGAAATACGTATCGCTCGGGTCACCTATCCTACTTTCATCCTTTTTACGGATTTTGCCCATTATTTTCCTACTTTTGTTATATATATATATGTCCTTTAATTTCTTTGGGTAAAAGGCAAAATATTGCAAAAGTACACTCTTATAACTTAAACACTCAAGCTTTCGAAGATCTATGTCTTCATCGTCTGGAGCGGGAAACAATTATTGACAATAGCAACAAATAACAATTGAGACTATGTGTTTCCTTCACTGTTGTTTAAAAACAATTTCAGCAACAATCTCGCCGACTTAGTAAGTAAATATTTTTGTCCAATTGTTATCTCCTTCTTCGGGAGTAGCACGGTTCGGTTCTCGACAAACCATGGCGGGATTATCTGCTCCCGATTTAGCAATGACAAAAAATTTCAGCTAAATGCCGGTGGCAACTGGGAAATTTCTTGCACGAGTAGGTATTTGTGCCATTCGAGCCAGGCGCCGCGAAATTCTTAGAACCTATCAAGCCCAACGAATTTCTTCCATGGTTATTATTTTATGAATTTGACCTTAGCTTCCTGTATATCGGTAAATGATGATGTTAAAAGCCATGTTTATAGCAACTTTGTTATATTTTTGTCATAACTTGAATCGTAGAAATATTGCAAACGTTTTTTGAATGGACCTGTGCAATTGAGTCATCTAGGATTATGCGGTCCCTTGTAAGACATCTGTTTCATAATTCATATTCCTCACATGCACTGGTTCAATTTGGATCATCAAGAAGTCCCAGGAAGTACTTCCCTTTGCTTTGTGGCGTCTTCCACAAAGCGATTCGGTTACAAAAAAATCCGCATCGCTTCTGTGTTGCTTATACGGCAGCCAGAGCACTCGGAAAGCTTTTAAGGTATTATTTCATAAGCTTTCTCTGATGTATACTTTTTGACGGAGAAAGGGAAAGGGGCGTATATGTAAAGCTGCCCTACGTTTAGCTTTTAGTTCGCTTACTGTGTGTGGCATCTAAGAACACGTATTTCTCATTACAGAAGAACGGTAGTCCAAATATGATGTATCAGACTTAGATAGATGACGTTAGTCCGTCCGTTTGTGGCTCGGTGTGATCCAAAGGATATTTTTTTATATTGAAGTAGCTGCATATGCAAGTGCGTAAATACCTTACCCCATTGACAATACGAGATGTATAAAAACTAGAAATTTGTTAAAAATTATGATCGGTATACAATAACGACAATAATAAATCATAATTAATGTAAAGACGAAGAAAACATAAGATCAGTGAACACTTATTCACTACAAAAGATTTTGCTGCTGATCGAATAGGATTTCTTTAAATTTTTTCTTGAATTATAACTGCGCTCTAAGTAATTATACGGGGTGTTTCAGAACTAAGGGATCAAATTTCTAGGGGTTATTCAGTGTAACAGTAGAAAACATTTGAGTAGGGACCCATATCCGGAAAAGTGTCACTACGGCACCACCGCCCTAAGACGTGTTAAAATTTAGACAGAGGATGAATTGCCTAAATAGGATTTATTGCATTTAATTTTTGCCTTTTGTACATGATATCATCACAACAATTGTTCAAAATGTCTTCCTCCAACCTGAATACACCGATTTACGCGTCTCACACAACTCAGGTTGGAGGAAGACATTTTGAACAATTGTTGTGATGATATCATGTACAAAAGGCAAAAATTAAATGCATTAAATTCTATTTAGGCAATTCATCGTCTTTCTAAATTTTAACGCGACTTAGGGCCGTAGTGCTGTAGTGACACTTTTCCGGATATGGGTCCCTCAAATGTTTTCTACTATTACACTGAATAACCCTTACAAGTTTGATCTCATAGTTCTGAAACACCCTGTATAATATATGTGTTCTGAGATAGAGATGTATTGTGGCGTGGGATTCAAAAAGAATATAAAAATAACCTAAAAGCCCACATGGAAACGTATTAGTACCTTGATGGAATTACCCATTGAAGAATTAAATAGTATGAAAAATTCGTTATAAGCCAACTTCAGGAGGTATAAAATAGAGTCAAGAAACCGGAAAAATCTGGTGCTGGTGTCGACGACATTTATGAGCCAATATGGTTCACACACGAATTTTTAGTATAGGTGTAAGTACGTTATAATATGCCACTGTACAGAGTAATAAGCTTGGCGCGACATTTAATCGTCATCGAGCACGAGAACTGTATTGAGAGCTTTGTGAGTGTGGATCCAAAGAAATTCTTGCCGAGATTATCGGCGAGATTCTCGCGTGAGTGTGGATCGGCCTTAATAGATGAGCGACCGATCCACCTACTAACCGTTCCATTCCATTGATTCCGATGCGCTTGACGTCTTAACATTTAAAATACTAGAGTACTTTAGGAAGCAATTATAAAATATATATTTTAGCGGTATTTGCCGATTAGTATCCGCCAATATTCGTCGCAGGTGCACTTCCACCGTACCGCGGTGCTATATATCGACATTAGAAAGTACCATTTTTACACTACCAGCAAACGCACCAATCGGTGACCGTCTTACTTTTAATAAAGCAGCACGGTACCAAATGCCAGAGCTACCTTGACAAATATGCGATATGCGCGATACTGCAGATTTTCATAGGCGCTGAGAAACATACTACAATTTGAACAGTACGCGGGAAATAGTATATCATATCCATAGGGTGAGAGGTAAGACACTTCAATACCACGAGGGTGCAGAGCAGCGAGGGATATAATCGAGCGAGATTAATTTGTTCTCAACAACGTATGTCCTGAAAGTTTTGGCACAAAATTCATTGGCTTTAATTTTAATAAACGCAAAATATTCTGAAGTTGCCTTTGGAAACTAAAGTTTGTTTACTTACTTTACTGTCAGTTGACATTCATTTATTTTGAATTTTTGGCTTTAAGAAAATTAGAAATAAGAAAAAGTACCTACAGCAGAACCATTTATAGTAGAGGAACGCCCAGAC